TCCTTGTGTTGGTAACGCTAATATGTGTAGATATTTCTAATACTTTCCGAATATCCAAATCCCAAATAGGTCGACAGCACAACATACTCATTTTTTAGGGCCAGGGTATGTCCCCTAGCCACCCAACAAATGAACCACATGGTTGTTTCTCCTCCTCTATGTTAAAACCTTACCATGCCAACTTTCTCCATGATAATTCGCTTGCAGTTCTCTACTGCGTCCGGGTGGCCTTTGATGAAGAATGTCCGGTTGACCCGGTCCGGATTCTGTGCGCGTCTATCTAACTCGCAATGCGCGCCCGATTGGGCGTTAATTTGCTTTATCACTTCGCCACCTATGGAAATTCAATTAAATAAATTAATTGGCTTTTTAAGCTGTTGGTAGTATATAAATTATTGTAGCTATCAGAAATTAATGATCATGATGTTATTCATTTCTTGACTAGCGAAGACCAACAAAACTATTTACTGTCTAGTCTACGCAAGTAGTACACATTCAAATAAAACTTATTTGTAAATTATTAAACGAAACGTCGGGCCGTAGTTAAAATTAACAAATAAGTTTGAACATCGTGTTTTGAACCGTTAAATTAAACATAATTGAAAAACTATTGACACAATACAGTTATATTACAATACATTCGTAGGTCCCAGTTATCATCTGATATGTAATAGTGGTTGCTGTTGAAGCCCAAATCGCACTAGAGTAGCGTAGCGACTCCAAGTGCACATACCCTTGAAAGATGGTTATACTAAGCCCAGAACGAGACGTTAATAGGTATTATATAAACTACATATGTGTAAGTAGCATCTGTATCTTAATAAAGTAACGGTTTAAAACTCGGAATATTTATAATTTTAAATGCATTTTACCTACGTCGAAACTTCAAGTCCTTTTTAACTAGAATATTACAAAGTATAAGCACAAAATCTCACCTCTGCCAATAATGAGGCCACACTTGACATTTGGCATCGAGAACGTGACCCTGACTTCGGGCGAGTTGTCTTGCCACTGCTGATTGTCCCTGTCGTTGTTGCCTTGATTGTTGTTCTTGCCACCGGAGCGACCTCGTCCAGAGCGGATGGCCTGCTGTAAGAATGAGTTCGTTGGATTTATTGCTTTTTTTAAACATTCGAATAAAGAATACAGTCCTATCACCTTGTTTGTTTGAACGCGCTAATCTCTGCAACGGCTGGTTCGAATTTATTTTTTGTGTTGGTTAGAGCATTTATCGAGCTAGGCTAAGGGCAGTGATAGAAGCTAAAAAAGTGTGAAATGTTGAAAAGACGGGGGAATTATTCATATTCAACGACGGGACGCAGAAAATATCTTGGCTACCCAGATATAATTTATAATGACAAGGAAGTTGATAATACAAATTTTGATGCCAAAATCAACTATTCTACGCACAGGTCACAAGAGTTACCCTTTTGGCATAAAGAATCAAAGAAAGGTAGAGAAGCGGAAGAAGGAGATTTATATAACCTGGAATAAATACTTACATTGACACTATTGATCAAATCGTCAATCATTTGTCTCGCATGTTCAACTTGGTGTGGCTGACCCTGCAGGTAACATCTAAAGAGAAATAGAAATACATATGTAAAAACTAAAGCTTTAAAAAAAACACTAAAACGGTTTAAAGCGCGAAATTTATTATACTTATTTGAAAAGCTATTCTATATAGATGGAAAAGTCGTGAAGTTTAAATCAATGTTTCAGTCTATTTTGTTGTATTACATAGTAACAATACAATAAACTCTGTGACAATGCGATACCTTTTGTCTCCTGGTCCCTCTTCCCTCTCCTGGTGGAACTGTACCCTGCATCCTGAGTCATTTTGAATCTTCTTTATCATGTCACCATTGCGTCCTATGACTACGCCTACAGCCGTTTTCGGCACTAAAACCTGTGAGAGAAATAAGTATATGTTATATTTTTTTTAAGTAGCTACACATTTATAAGAGCTATAAGAAAAAAGCAGATATGATTGCTGATGCAATTATTATAAGTATTTGTAATGATTACAACAATATCTTTGTTCAGCCTAATTTGCTTCGTGGTAAAATTAAACAACCAGACAATCTGTAATCTTAAGTTTTAGAGCAGAATTTATTTATTTATGTTATTAACATAAAACTAACTTACTTCACTAGATGTGACACCATTGCCTTGCTCTTGGTAACCATCGTCAAAGCTACGCCCACCACCCTGGCCGTCCTTGTCTTGCAACAGCTCGTAAACCAGTTGTTTTGCATGCTCCACTTTGGCCGGGTCGCCTGAAATGCGCAGTGGCTTTTCCTGTTCCAGAAAAGTAAGAATATTGGAGTGTTAAAAATTAGATTTCTATTAGGACCCAATATCCCTATAATGGGGCATTTATTTACAAAATGATCATTAACCTACTTTGTCATTATGTATTTAACTTGCAATGTTAAAAGTATATTTTTTGTTAATGTCAATTAAATGTTTTAGGATTTGAAACCTTACATATTCAGTATTAGGTCCATCTTGAATCACCACCATTTTAGCGCCTGATTGTTCCTGCAGCTGCTTGATGGTTTTGCCATTTTTACCAATAATCAGACCAACTTTGGGACCAGGCAGCATTATTTCATCCTGATAAACATTTAAAATAATAATATGAATAAGCAAAAAGAAATAACCTTAGTACACACACAAACACACCTGATAGCCTAAAATGCATGCCTTTTTTGCAGCTGAAATATATGTTAATGCTATATGATAAAAAAAATTATAAAGCTGAAAAGATTGTTTGTTTAAAAATCGAAAATAAATTGAAAAAATTTTCGACTCGGGCAGGACTTGAACCGGCATCGTCAGCGTTCCGTGCTGTTGCTTTCTGCGTATATAGTGCCTTCATGTAAAAAATAATAAAGTTTTCAATGCACTAATCTCAGGAACTATTGGTTCGAATTGAAAATATATTTTTGTGTTAATTGGACCCTTTATCGGAAAGGCATATAAAACCTTGGTCAATAGGAGCGAAGAACCAGAGGGAAATCGGGAATGACAGGGGGAACTGTTCATCTTTTGTTGTAAGTTGTAAAGCCTAAATAGGACAAGTCGAAGCTATCCTAAAAATAATTAGCGTTTAGAGAAGTTTATTTCTAATAAACTATAACATTTAGAACAACTATAATAGTACTTACAGTGATACCCAGTCCACCGCCTCCGCCCCTTGGCCCTCCCATAGGGGACATCCCCTGGTCAGGGTGTTGCGGTGCATTCTCGCGACCGCGGTGATTCACGATGTTATTTACGAGTTCCCTGCGAAAAATATTTAAATTTAATAATTATTAAAATCTATGCGTCCGTAATAACAAAACATAATAATCGGAGTCACACCATTTTAACATCTCAAATATGATCTAGAATTCAGAAACATTAAAAATAAACATCCCTACTGTTAAACGCTTATTTAAATAGTGGCTAGCCCACTATTTACTAACTCAAATGATTGACCCATATAGTTACAAAGCAAAGTAGATGTTAATAAACTTTAAATTGCGAGCAGCTTAAGCCAGCTTCTTTTAAACTACTATAAGATTTATTTTTATGTGTTTCACCAAAATGTATCCCTTAAAAATATTAATAACATTGTTTATGTCAACTAAAACAGTTCAGACAAAATATAAATGTTATTTACAGTGACAGGTGATAATATAGTGAAATAAAAATATAATAAGAAATGGTGGTACTATGCACAATGATTAAATGAATACCATATACCAGAACAAAACATTGTTTCATATAATGAAATTCTAAGTGCTAATATTCTGTTAGTTTATAAGAATTGTGCATATATCAATCCATACATGCCGTTTCTAATGGTTCACAAGGATTCTAAAGTGAACCATCGCTTAAATACCTACCTATACACTAAAAAAGCACTAATTTCGTCAGTTTGCTTCTATATAAAATACAAGCATATAAAAAAAAATCAGTTACTTGGCCCTAGCGATAGCCTCGCGCGACCCAGTGAGGGTACAAAGTCGATCTGGCTGACCAGAGTCCGGGGCCATTTGGATCTTGCATCCGGTCTCGGCTTGCAACCTTGTGATCTGCTCTCCACCCCGACCGATTACTGCCATCAATATTATTATTAAAGAAATGATATCATGCGTACAATTAATTCACATATCACTTAATAATGAGCCACGAACCAGAAGCACTCTCTTACTCTAATGCACAGACACAAAACTCCTGGGAGTTATATAAATATGTCACAACTACTTCTTCCTGAAACTGTCCCTCTCTTTATACTGTAAAAACTGACTAGAAGTCGCCTAATATAACATTTTTACTAAATTAATATATTACAATCACAATTTCCTAACAAAAATTATTTGGACATTAAACATTCCTTATCAGAATCGTAGCTCCTGGAAAAAATCTGATCAAGCAAATAAAGCCCAATTCACCAATCTCAATAGCAGTCTACATTTACTCACTGAGTCCGACCATTTTATCGGGAACCCTGATATAGTCATTAATAGCTTGGTCGTTCATCATGTTGGGTGGTCCTGTTGGGGCTGGTGGAGATGCAGAATTTGCAGCAAGACGTGCTGCTGCCGCCGCCGCCGCTGCCGCTGCTGCTGTTACACTGTACAATATTTGACATTGACAGTCTTGATCTTCAATAGTTGAACTTAGCTTTTGAAGCCAAATTTTTCATACATTTTCTGAACCTAAACTCTTCTCATGACCGTAATACCACTCTTATTGTATAAATTGTTATGTTAAATTTAAAAGTGATATTTGAAATATTTTACAGCAAATAATAATAAATTTTAAAATTCTTTTTCATACAATTTTTACCATATCATATTCATTCATTATATACATAACATATTGTTCTTATATAAAGCACTTAGTTATAAAAACAGAACTGAAACACTGAAAAGTACACAATGATACACATATATAAACAAGATATAATTTAGAAGCAAACTGACTATATCTTTATCACTTAGCCCCAATTGTTCTAGGACTTCTAGATTTATCAATAATGTCTGATTGTACATATTTCTAGCCAATACTTCATGATAATATGATTGTAGAATATACATATAAATAGACAGCCCCACACACATATCATGTTAAACTCACTTCATTTGTGGAGGAGAATATTGGGGCTCGGTAGACGCTATTTTCTTAGAGCTTGGTTCAGGTCCGTCTTCAAGCGATCTCTTATTTCCACCAACTTCAATTTTGGCGGCCACCTTTAATGACAAAATCAGAATTCGGAACATCAAAAGTAGGTTAGATAGTAACTGGTACCGTTAATTCATGAAAGTTAGACATTAAATATTATAATTCATAGAGAAAAGCTAAGATGGTAATGTAAGTAATGTATTAGTAATGTAGCTACATAGCAAAATAATGTTGTTTTTACTGCGAATCGATGCAGATATGCCTTACCAATTTCGCACGTTGTACAGCTGCCGCAAATGCCCCTGTTACACTGTTGTTTTGAGGCGTAGCCATAGAAGAATAATCACTCATGTTTGAATGAGAGTAAACATTCAATCACGCAATACGGCAGCCATTAAAAAGTATCAGAAGATCCAAAAAATTGGCCTCTCTCGCAAACTCAAGATAGAGACGCGTCCATTAACCATAGACTTAAATTATTTAGAACACAATAGTGTAAGAGCAATCGCTCAGACTGTAATAGGAACTACATCTGTGGTCGTTAGTTACAATACTCATTGGTGGCATTATCCTTGTAGCTTAGCGCGATAGCGACCAATCAGAGTAAGACTATTATGACATGTGGCAGGTCTGATGCTAAAAAGCGCTAAAATTTTATATTTTATTTTCAATTGTATGCCTTTTGAATGTTTTTTCTGCCTAACGTCATGCAAAATCATCTTATTTAATTATGATTAAATGAGGTTACTTTCACAAAAGTCATTTATGAAAACTTTTATTTGTAGTCTATGGCTTACTTACGTTTCGTTTCTACAAGCATTTTAAGTATCTAAAGTTTTTACAGTTTTAAATAAATAACTATTAACTCTGTAAAGATAATCTAATATCGTTCGTAATATAATTAAGTTTCACTTTATTGCATTTTATTATTTTTGTAAAAAGGTATTTTTAATATAAAAATACCTTTTTCCATTAAAAAAAAAACTATCACTGTGTGAAACAGAACGCAGTTTTTTTTCTATGTTGTGGGTGCGTGCATTTGTGTTGTCCGGTGTTTGAAGACGCTTGGAATTCGCTTTCAATTTCTTCGTAGGAAAAATGTCGGGTGATACCGATAAAGCAAAAATCAGTGATAATCAGGTATAGTTGTGCAATTTGTTATTACAAAAATTTTCTCCGTGTTTGTGTGAATCTATAGAGGCTATTTGAAGCTGTGAAGTGATGTTTTTTCCGTGTTATATCATAAATGTTTGCCTGCGTCTCAACATGGCTGACAGAACGTTTGCTTCCCGCGAAACGCGGGAACTACGCCACGGAGGGTTGTGATTTTAATCCAAATATCCATTGCTAAATTGTAAATTGGGTATTGATCAGTTATCGAAACTGATTCTAATGAAGCAATTTTTAGTTTTTCGCTTATTTTACCACCCCCGCCCCTTTGCATTTGGCTGCAGGGTCTTTGTTAAATGTGCACGATATAGTATGACATTGATAGGAAATCCGCATGACCTTGATATTTTATTTCTTGCGAAATTTATATTCGGAGGCATCATAATATGTTGTTATTACACTGAGGCGCGAGTTCGCGCCGTCTTATTCTCGTTGCATACGCGCGAAGCGATGTAAATAAAAAGTAAGACACTAAAGGCCCTTAGCATTAGTCCTTTGCTTTTTTCTATTGGGTGTTATTGCGTCTTATATTACCGCGCATTCACCTATTCAATTAGATATATTAATGAATTTATGAATGACCTTAACATTTAGTTATATATAATTCGAATATTATGCACATAGTTGCTATGTACACAGGTGTATATATCTATTCGACATAGAGATCACTAATATAGGTTATCTACCATTCCATTCTGAATCTTGTTGTGTTAAGAATAAGGTATCAATTCAAACGCCACATAAAGTTAGATATGGTTCTTACTAGTTTTCTACTGCCATTCTGACTGGCTTATTCTGCATTGATTTGGGCTTTTTGTAATACAACAATTTGCTAAATTTTAAATTTTTGTATCATCAGGATTTTAGTTATTGGTTTCCATATTATTGTTAAATACATATGACTTATTTGAAAAGTATTAAAAAACCTTTAGCCAGAAATAAATATACAAGTTTTAAAGAAATTGGTGCAACCTCTACCTAATTTTTATTTTATTATTGGATCCTGCATGCAATTGTACATCTTTTTTCATTATAAGTATGAATATATTATTTTAATATGTAATAAATATAAAATTGTACATGGTCGTAAAAGTTAAAATATATTTTTCTTACTTTAGAAGTCCTTTTAATATTATAAGAAAAATTTATTTTAACAAGAATAAATTTTACAAATATATTATTACAAGATGTGTAGTTAAATTGAATGTTAAGATCGTTACTGACTGCACACCACTTTACAAACATATTTAGTAGATACAATACAGATTGATTGTAAAAAAATGTCTGACACTGAGTCTTTCTGTGTTTGTTAATGGTGTACAGAAGTTATCTTTGGGACTTAATATATAACAGAACACTAGCGAGGAAACATATATCTTAAAATATAACAATACACTAAAAGAGGAATTTTGTTTTTACAGCCTTCAGTTTCATTCTTTGAAATCATTGTTATTAACCATCTATACACCTCCTAGTCTTGCAAATCTTTCTAAAAAGCTAATTGAACATTATAAAACCAAGTTAAAGTCCGAGACATTTTTACTTTAATTTGTTTTTTTTTTCTACAAGTACGTTATAATAAAATATATTAATACAGTACATTACAGTCCATAACTCATATACCAATGTATCTGTATACAGGATGAAGACAAAAAGTCCGGCGCTGGCGACGGCCAGACGACGGAAGACGAGTCGTCCCAGGATTCCAAGGGTGAGTCGGCTGCGGTCCCAGAGGCGCAAGGTAACGCGTCCGTAGATCAAGTTGACGACAGTGCACCCCCAGAAGGTCAGATTCGTGTTTTAGCACAAACGTGCTGTGAATCATGCGCATCACGACTAACCTGTGGGGATTGTATGGGCTACTTACAAAAAATATATAAATAAACCTTTCGTTTGTAAACTTAAATAATTTCATTTGTGGCCCGATGTTCGATGTTTCATGTGTGTACACGATGACATTATATAAATTAAAAATCGATTTTAGCGTGAAAAGATTTTACGACATGGGCGGGACTCGAACCACCGACCCCAGCAACAAGTTAGATTAGAGCAACAGTACGGCACGTTTTGATCGTGGTTTTGAGTCAATTTCGTGTCATTTCTCTTATCTACATTGAATTTTAATTGACTCAGTAAGGCTGTGAAGTGCAAAAGATATACTGTGTAGCATCAAAAAAAAAATACTTATCCTGTTAAAAAATATTTTTTACTCACTAATTTACCAAAACTTTTGCCATACTTTAAACTCAAAAATATTCTTTTCTCTTACTATTAATATTAATATCCTCAAAAATGTGAAAATAGTTATGACATGACACTTGTGAACAATTTTCATTGCTGACGCTACCTTGTTCTAGTGAACTATTAAAACGAAAGTTTTTGTAAGTAGCCTATGCTTTACATGTTTTCATTTTGTTTTTGTCTAATGGTATGTTGTTTTTGTTAACGTCGGCTTTTGGGAATCAAGAGTTATACACGATTTTAAAAAATACACTTAAACGAGACCGCACTGCATTGAACAATAATAATGTATGTTAGACAGTTCTTCATTCTGTTTTGTATACTAACCTATTAAAAATATCCATCTTTTTATACCAATTATGATATTAAATTTGGAATAAAAAATAAATAAAACACTTTTCATTGTTTAAACTTATCTACAACTGTAAAACCGTTAAAAGTGATTTATTTGTTTCTACTAATCACGTAAAATACAGACAGTGCTTAAGAAATAAATACATGATTTCGGATAAAACTTAAACTCAATGTTCACAACAGGATCATTAACAATTATTACATGGGAGTGTTAGTGGTGTTTTGTGCATTGCAACACATTCAGTAAAAATCCGAGATCGTAAACATCTACTAAATATGTATATTGGTTGATCTTCACCACTTAATCGGTGACTAAAATCAATTTAGTGATCAAACTTGCTTATTGAAACACACTGCTTTATAGAATTAATACAAATAACTCTGTTCATAGTTAATTAAATGTGGCCAACATATTTATGTCACATAAAAATACAACTTCAATTGTTTTCAAACAATTTAGTGATTTTATAAATATATGTATATCTAAGCCCCCCCTTCTCGCGCCCAGCCATAAAAACTGTTGTTAGATTTAGTGATTTAAATATGTTTCCCATTTAAAACTTTTAGTATTTTCAAGGCAGTGTAGTTAAATAAAAAAGTTTGTGGCGGATTACTGCATTTAAAAAAGCATAAATACAAATAAAAATGTTAATTAAATTATCGCATCTGTATGTCTATAGTTTATCAGCGCCTTATCAGTCAAAGTTAGTGTTGTGGCCACGTTACAGCGATCTCGCCGCCTTGCCAATATTACGTATTCTTTTATTACCGCGATATTGGCGGCATTATAATTTTATCAACTTACAGCTTCATATAACTTAATTCCACTGTAGTGGATTGAGGTTACCATCATTTATATCCGAAGGTATACAATTTAGCCTTGAGAACAAAATAGAAATCTATTGACGAAAAGCAAGAAAGACAAGAAATAGAAGTTATCTAAATAGGTAAAAGGACGTGTGCGTTCAAGCGTCGAGAAATAAAAATAATACATAATTTTAAAGAATAGTACAGATCATGTTTTGTAGTAGGTTAATTTAGAAGTTTAAAAAAAGACTATACCATAGTATCTGACCCAACAAATGTACGAAAATGTGAGTTTGTGGCCTGTATGCGGCGAGTCTTATTATACGGCAAGGCATTGCTTACACTAGTTAACAACTTCAGAACCTAATCAGACTCAGGAGCAAAAAAAAAATTAGCAGCATATTATAATTGTATTGTGTCAAAGGATACTACAAAAGCATTATAGGCAGTCGGTTCTTATAAAATGTTTTACTGAATTTGAGCAGGCAAGGTCATTTTTTGTTTTATCTAGTGTGAAACAAAAAATTGTTCTACAATATGGTACTACCGTGTTAATATGCCTAAATGTTTCATTATATAGATTTAATTATTTTGAAAAGGATTAAGTGCGAACAATGTTAGTTAGTATATTTATTATCCCACGTTACGACAATGATTTGTAAAAACGCGTTTAAAATCTTTTTCCAACTAAATCGAACCTGTGATAAATGGCTTTTATAACAAAAGTCAATGACCTTTAGCACACACAAAATCTAGACTCACAGACGTGTGACGTAGCGTATCAAAAAACCCAGCCACCGCTCGCGGTCGCTATTCGAGTCTTGATTTGTTAATTAGAGCCTTTTTCCACGTTGTATTGGCACTATGAGGATTTAATTTACACTCAAGTACAGTAGCGAGTCGCCTGCTGTCGTGGGTTTGAATTCATGTTATAAATTTGCATTGATGTGTTCCGTAACGTTCCTTCGTAACGTTATAATTTTATAATTGAAAATAAGTCAACGCTCACAAAGTTATCAGGCTGACGAAGTTCGTTTGTGCAATAGTTGCCAAGTATATCTAATAACCGATGGGTCGAAGGTTCGTTGCCTACTAAGTGGCATGTTTGTAATACATTTTGTGACTTTCTAAACACGCGTATGAAAAATATGATCTTTAAGTGGGTATCGAGTATATGGTAATTATGCTGGACGTGCTCCATAGAAAAAAAGGTCCAAAGATGTAACTTCGCGTTTTTGTTTTAGTCCAAATGTTAAAATACTAAAACAGGTCGACAGCGTATCTTAATTTATGGGCATCAAGTGATCCCTATATTGTCTCTGGTTTAAAAAAGTATTATATCAACTACTACGCGTATTATAACATTGGTGGACACTTATCGCGACCATATTTAATCAATGGACGCTAAAAGTAACAAAAACTGTAACCATAGCAACCGATATTAATAGGCCGTCGCTTCAAAAACAGACCAAAATTGTGAAAATAGATTCAAATTAAATATCCTTATCTGCACAAGTAAGATTAGAGTCCGCGTTAACCTGTAGCTAAATGGTTTGACATGTTGCCTAGCATTGCGTTAAGCGTGAGAGGTTCTGGGTTCTAAACCCGGGGAAAAGTTTGCTTCGCTCGGGCAGGTCACAGGAGTCCGTCCGATCGAGTATTTGTTTAGAGTCTAGACTATGCTTTTGCTCCACGCACCACGTGGGAAACGTTTTCACGTTCAAAATCCGAGCAATACAATTATTATTTACTGTAGCTACAGGAGTACAAACTGTGGGGCCTAGTGTTAGCGGATTTATAAAGGAACCGGCTTGACCAGTTGCGAAGAGCCGTATTTTTGTCTACAGTACTCAGACCGGTAGCTCTTCATTAAGTTGGTGGGATGACGTCATCAGTGACAACTTACGATTTTGGTTTTAGAGTAAATGATAAAAAGAGAAAAGTAACAGATCTATCTTGTCATAATAATACAACTGATTACAAGACAGTCTAAAGGCCCAAGTTTTCTTTGTTTAAATTTTTAAAAGAGACGTAATTCAAACTACAAAATTTCAGCTCTTCTTAGAAAACTACAGGATTTTCTTATATTAATAGCAGCATCAATTTGGACATGTTTTGAAGCTCTTTCTGAGCTAAAGAGTAAAAAAAAAACGTATTTTTTATTCTTTGTTTAAACTTATACAACTAGAATAATCCAATCCTAGTTCTGTAACTAAATTCGCATCGGATCGCATTAAAAAAAGTGTGTCCTACATTTTGTCGGATTTTACGCACAGCACAAAATGCCAAATTAATAGTTGAATTCTATTGCTTTATTGCATCATGGACTGGAAAGTGTATTCTTATCTTATTTTTGTGTATCATTACTAACATCACTAAATATAGTTATTTTATACATACCTATAATTACTGTAAAATGAATTAACGATGTACTATTTATTAAAGAATTAAAACTTAACTTTTTTTTCCTTAGGTGACGCAAAATCAACGACGGCAAACGGCAAAGATGACTTAGCTGGTGACGACTCCAAAGATGAAAAGCCATCTAAGGCGGAAGACAAAAAGGTTCGTACTACGCACCATCATAGTGCAAGTAAATGAAAATACGAGCTATATATATAATGAATTTTTTTTTTATATAGATACATTAAAGATAGCTTTCATAGATCAATGTTTAAGTTTATGTTTTGTTTGAATTTGCCATAGTAATTTTTAATGCCACAGAAATGTGTTCACCCCTTGCATTACAAGCGTACTGAATTTTGGTTACTTACTTAAATTTTTATGATTTTACAAATCGAGAACAAACGTCGAGAACCTCTTCTCGCTCACGTCGGCCGAACAGCCCGAAAGACAATGATATGCTAAAAGTTTGTTTGTTGCTAATTTTCCTTTCCCTGTTGCTTTAAATAATTAGATGCTAGACTAAATTGTTCTGATTATACAGGTATTTTATATTAGAAGCAGTAACTTAAATTAATATCGCTTTATATCATAGGAGGAAAATGGTGAGACACACGAAGATGATGACAAGGAAGATGTAAAAGAGAACGACAAAGCAGCTAAAAAACCTGCCGCTAAGAAAAAACCTAAGAAAGAGGTGCGGATACATTAAATCATTGTTTAATAAAGTCTATTAACGCTTAATCTATAACTTTATTTTGACAATGACTTGTTTTCTTAATATAATTCTTTTTATTGCAGGACACAGAAGAGGAAGACGAGGAGGATGAAGAAATGGACGAAGAGGAAGAGGAAGAAGGTGAAGAGGGGGAGGAGGACGAAGAAAAGAAGACCAAGCCTAAGTAAGTTTATTTCAAAATGTGTGTTTAATCCCGTTTCCCCTATTTCATACCTTGGACAGATACATTAAGGAGGTACATTGTGTAACATAATTTTTCTGTATTCCATGATTCAAACCCAGGATCTTTTGTACTTCACTCATTATTTTACCTTCTTTTTTTATAACTAAACCACTCAGGGCTTTTTCTTTATGGCGTCTATGAATTATTCAGGGTAAAGAAACCGGCAAAGAAAGTAAAAGACGGTGACGAGGAGGGTGAAGATGACGAAGAAGAAGGCGAGGAGGAGGGTGAGGAAGAGGAAGAGGAGGAGGAAGAAGAGGAGGCGCCGAAACCTAAACCTAAAAAAGAGGTAATGCAATAACTAATAACATGTAGAGATCTAGTTTAAGATCGAAGACGTCATTCATGTAAAGAAATGTTTATGAATGGTTTGTGATCCCCTATTCTCAGAGAAGGAAGGGATTATATTATATGAGACATTTTGTAATAATATTATGTTTGCAAGTTCAGACAGTAAAAAAAAAATTTTTAGTAAAAGTTAATTATTTTTATGCTTTCATAATAATTAGGTAATAAACAAATGTTATTTATTATATATACATAAAATGCGATAATTCTTTTATAGCCCACCGAACCTCCAGTGCCACTCCCAGCTGGCAAAGGTATTCCTCTTGGGCACATTAGTAATGTGGAAGTATCCCTATCAAGGTTTAAGACGCAAGACCAGAAACTTTTACATCAGTATCTGTATGGGGTAAGTTTCTTTAGATGTCATAGTAATAATTATAAGTGTGAATATACATTAAATTATATTTTATAACGCACTTATTTCTTATAAAAAACATGTTTTTTCTAATTTAAAAATCGAAAATAAATTGAAAAAATTTGTGACTCGGGAGGACATTGACCGGCGTCGTCAGCTTTCCGTGCTGTTGCTCTGAAACAAACGGAACGGAGACGGAAAGCTGACGATGCCGGTTCAAGTCCTGCCCGAGCCGGAAATTTTTTCAATTTATTTTCGATTTTTAAATTATATAGTGCCTTCATGTGCAATAACATGTGAAAAATATTAATGTTTTCAAATGTTTTTTCTAACTAAACTTTTTTTCAGCAATTGTGTCTGGACCGCAATGTTAAACGTAATATAAAGAAGTTCAAGGGCTACGAGTGGGCAATTGGCTCCTCCGACTATAAGGCAAAGCTTGAAGAGACGACCAAGATGGAGCCCAAGCAGATACGCACCATGTGCGAGATGCTCGATCTCGATAAGAAAGGTAAGGAAAGGTCCCACCAAAACGACGATATACACAAATTTACATGACAGTATTTTTTATTGTCTTTCTTTTGTTAAATTACTGATTGGTTAACTGTTTCTTGATTCTGAATTAAACGTTTTTGAGTATATCTAAAAAGTTTAAAGAACTTCAATGGTATACAAGTACCATTTGACAAGATTGCTTATAAAAATTTTAGTGTAGTTAAAAGTATATAGGACATTTAACTAATACACATAGCAAATCATAGTAGAATTTTCGATTCAAAGATTTTTCTGTGCAGGTGGTCCGTCGGAATTGGCAGCCCGGCTAGTCGGTTTCCTACAGTGTCCAACAGCGAATTCGCCCCACGCCCGGGGCGTAGCTCGACCGCCGCCAGCTGCCGCTGCAACGCCTGGCGGAAGACCGAGGAGGTCGGCAGCCGTCAAGATTCATAACCGAGGTAGGTTTTAGTAGAAAGTATGGTATTTCTAATATGAAAAGGATTTTTCTTCTATACATAAATAATGGTTATACTCATAAGCGCAATGGTACATTTTGTGTTTGTTGCTGCAGGCTATTCAGATGAAGAATATGAATCAGATCCGGAAACAAAAGTCAAAGGACCAAAGCCACCTAAAGATGGCTCCGAAGATTCTGACGTAAGATAAATTTTGAACGCTAGTTATAGGTTTCATAATTTAATAGGCGACTAGGAGTTTCAGTGAATTCGATAACCAAGGAAAAATATTGCATTGTGTTTGTTCTTATGTTCACTAAACAAAAAGAGTTAAAGATTTCATTCCTTTTAGGATTTTACTTTGTAATATTTTTTTTTTAAATATTGGTAATAATGTATATAGGGTTCATTCAACCCAAGTGGATCTGAAGCGGACTCAGACTTCGACCCCGAAGGCGGTGAGGTCGTCCCGGGACCCGGACGCAAGCGCAAGAGTAGCGGAAGACGTCGGTCGTCCGGAAAGGCTGGCAAGAAGGGCAAGAAAGGGAAGGGACGTGGCAGGGTGTGTAACTTTGCCTTGTCATTTAAAGAAATTTAGTTGTGTAAATAGTTTTCATATGTATTCTAATAAGCTAATTGCAGAGTTGTAGCGAAACATACTACTATGATATAATAAAAATGTTAATCTGTGTTAAGACAATTTTCTAATAAAAACAATAATTATTAATAATTGAGAGCACTCAATTATTAATTTTAAGGTTGAACTTTTATGAATCAAAGTTGTATTTTTATGTTTAGCCGAGCAAAGGCCGTGGCCGCAAGGCGAAATCTGAGAGTGAGGATGAAAGTGAGAAGTCGGAGAGTGACAGCGAAGGAGGAGAATCTGGCAGTGAAGGGGAGGAGTCTGATGTGAGAAGATTATATATGCTAACTAAATTATTTTTAAGTTTTCCGAAAAGAAATGTGACTTTGGAAACATGTCAAATATATACTCGAGAAAAACACATTTTTGTGTAAGATAAAGAAAATCTGACAATTTGTAGACTCCTTAGTCAAAAATAACAAACACTCTCTTTGTACCTCATTATTTCTTCCACAAAGAACTTTTACAGAATTTTGCTGTCTATATATGCTATAATACACCCTTATAATTGGTTCACTATAGGAGCCGAAGTCAAAACGCGGTCGGCCGAGCGGATCAGTAGCGAGAGGGCGCAAGGGCCCAGTCGCCAAGACACAGAAGGCGACGCCCGCTAAACGGAAACCCGCCTCACCGCCTGGTGCGTATTAATATAGTATCATTTAGTATTTGTGTATAATATTTTGGTATTACATGGTATCTCTTTGTAATCATCTTGGCTTTCTTTCGTTTGATTACTGTTTTCTTCAGTAATTCCTTTGACTCCACATTTGTGTAATTTCAATCTTCAGACCATTACAAGGAAACTATCCATAAATGAATAGGTAACTATGAATACTTATTAACTATATTACTTTCATTGCGATACATTATTAAATAAACTTTTACAGCTAAAAAGAAGGGTGGTAAACCTGGCCGACCACCGGGCAAGAAAGGCAAGAAGGCCTCCTCGGACGAGGAGTCTGGCGATGGAAGTGAGGAGGAGGAGGAAGAAGGGAGCGAAGAGGAAGAGAGTGGGGAGGAAAGTGACGGACCAGCTGACAAGAAGGCAAAGCGACCGCCCACTGTAAGTAGCATAAGACGTCAATATAAATATATTTTTTATTTGGCAGGTTTCTTGTAAGTTCCGGCTAAATGGGTAATCTGTAGCCGCACTATAATACGATATAATTTAGTTTTTTTTCAATGATAGAGGAGAACAGACACGCATGGGGTTCATAAAACATCTAAACAAGATGCACTGTCCACCTATTTTGGCTTTGGATATTCGAAAGTCCACAAACTGAAACCGAAATGCTATTAATCTTCACGGTTTTCATCTGTGGACGGTGGTTCGTGACCCGGATGGAACTTCGATATCCCTACCACCCATTAAATAACCAGATGTCCAGATGAAGTCCAACATGTTTCAGAGAAACTAAATTTAAATATGTTAGACTTGGTGGGGATTTCCTTCCATGGGTTCCCCCAGGACCACCTATTGATTATTAACCAAAAATTGCTACTATTACACCAACGAGCCCGTCAAATTATATCCTCCGTCTCGACCAGGACGACGAGATAAAGAAGTACGTGAAGCAGATCCTAGAGGGCGCGAACTTGGAGCAGATCACGATGAAGACGGTGTGCAAGCAGGTGTACAGCCACTACCCGGACTTCGACCTCGCGCACAAGAAGGACTTCATCAAAGCGACCGTCAAGTCGGTGAGTGCGATTCGCGATGACCACTCGTGATTTCGAAATTGTGTACCTATATGATTCAATTTCATTTTTTGCATTTTATTTTCTCAACCGCTTCTAGTATAGGTCATACTACAGGCACGGATGCTTTAGCGCTGAACGAAGTGTAGAGGGGATAGCTGCGATCTGACAATCGCGCACGTCATTGGAAAACGTGACTGTATCCGAGAAGCAAACGGAGCGTAGTATTGGTCCGAGAAAGACCAACACCTCTGGGGAACCAATCAATGCTAACGCACATTACTCGCCCCGCGCCCGCTTCTGTCCCTTTGATACCTTATTTTTACGTCTGCGTAGGATTCGTTCATCGCTAAAGATCCGTGGCGCAACTTATATGCTTTTGATTTGTTTTTTCTTTTTATGAACGATACATTTGTGGTTTCCTCTCTCTTTTAAAACAGCAAAAAATAAAACTCCCAGCAACAATATTCTTTATACAAAATTGTAAAAGAGTCAAGAAATTCCTATTTTTGCCTTCGTTAGTGCATACAAGATACAAGTCTGGTATTTATTTTTAATTGATTATTTTTTTCTTTTTGTTGCAGTGTATTTAAGATGTTAAGAGTAAGCGGAGTGTAGTCTACGTAGCGTTAACTATTACTATAGTTTTATAAAGGACATATTATTACAATAATAATATATTATGAGAATATAATTTTTTTAATATCCGCAAAAACAAGTGGAATGGATATACGCCCGCTTTCCATTCAGGTAGACCTTTTTGCTTTTATTATTTTTTTGCATGGACATTTTATTTCTGTATTTTATTTTTGGACTCACTAACATTACACAGAATAGTGATAATTCTCAACTAAACTATTTATGTCTATATGGCTTCAAAAAGAGAGCTATGTAGAACTTTTTTTTTATTATTCCCTAGAGTGTATATAATAATTTATCATCTTTAATTAGAGTTCTTGTACATTTTGGTTAATACAAATCTAATCATAGTGATTCTTGTTACAGCTCATATCATCGTGAGCGACTCGGCCGCATAGCATAGTCAAGTAAGCTACAATTAGACTAATTAAACACTCGCGCCAACACACACTGACTACACTATGACACTTTACTATGTATACAGCTGTGTCCACACTCGCGACGTATTATTATATTTTTATAGCTTCCTTTGTTATATTAACAGTGTTATAGTTAATTTTGTACTGATATTAGTATTCGATGTTACACTAGCCAATATACGTTGCGTTTATAGTTTTTAGCAAATCTCTACTATTGTGGTTCAGTTTGTTATAATCTTTTAAATAAACTCTAATGTAATGTTAGCTATATTGGCCTTAATATACCGACATATAATTAAAATATGGGTTTTGTATTGTTAATATCGTCGCGAGTGTGTGCACAGCGGCGCAGGCGCGGTGTCTGTTTGTGTTTTATTTGTAGGCGTAAATCCCATAGGATAAGTGTAACGTACAGCGTAGTTAAGGACTCCTCTGTTAGTGCTGTTTTTGCGTTTCGGTGGCTCGTGTGTAAGTGCCAACGAGCTGGGCGATTTACCCCGAACGGATGAACCGATTTTGATAGAATTCATCGGCCTCGCTGTTCTCCGTATCTGTAGCTTCTTATTGGGCAATTGTGTAAATTTTTAACGGGGATTGCCCAGTTCAATTGGCGCTTAACTGAGACGGATAAGGCCTCTAATATCTTACGTGTTCAAATCAAGCTATGTTTGTAATCATTGTCGTTTCATTGCTTGTTCGGGTCTAGTTTCTTAAGGTCGGTCAAGTTGTGTGGTTTTTTTGTCCACAAGTTATTCGTGGCATGAAAAACACCGACAAACCGACTCGACCACGTCTCTACTACTTTACGTTTAACGTATTGAACCCCAAAACGGCATTCAAACATAGTTTTAATTGAGTCATGTTTACTCGGGACCACGGTCACGCACGAGCTATCTTTATTAAGTACATTATATTTTTACATTGTTCCTTTGAAGTTGTCAATCGTTTTTACTAGTTTTTGTATAGACCATCATCTAGCAGGCGGCAGTATTCATTTACCTGACTATTGCAAAACGGAACATCTGTCTAAAATAGACTTTTTACCAGATAATTTATTAATATGTCTGTGTACGAACTAGTGAATTCGACATTTATATCAATAGTGATGTATAAAAATTCGGTATTAACACAGGTTATTCAATTTTCTAAGACACATTATTCGCCTGTGTTAGTGGACGTTCTCTAGCGGGGAATTGTAAATGTGCAATTATGAAATCGGTCTTTGGAAAGCACTATCTGCCCTGCGCTTCCACTATATCTTATAAATGACATTTGGCGCCCTTAAGCAAAAAAATATTTACTTATTGTTTTAACCTTACAAGTCCCCACTACATGTCGAACCACGTGTAAAAATAATTTTAGAAAGTTGTTGATTGATTTTAACTATGTGGTAATGTAAGATTATTTTTTTAAGCCTAGCAGGTAATTAATTCTATTCTACGCGGTCTTACTAAAGCGAGAAACTATTCGTATAAGAGTCGATTAAGTGTACTTTAAGTGTGTAAATATTACACGGAGTGCAGGAAAAAATCGGATTATAATAAAATACACGGTTTTAATTGATTTGTCGGTGTTTGTGATCAAAATTAATTGTTTGAGATATATGCTGGGATTTTAATTGTTACAAAATCAAATACACAACAGCATGATGTGGTTCATAAAATTCTACTTTGCATTTTGTAACAATAGTAGATGAGGTTTTAGCACTTATAGAATAATATGGATACACTTAAGGAAAGAATCCCTTGAATTATTTATCACAGTTCATTATTTTTGTATTGACCGTCTGTGCAATAAGACATTCGTGGACTTGAGCACCTTAATTAAGCTAAGTATGGATGTCGACGCTGTCTCAAATGCATCGAAACGTGTCTTCAGCGTGAAGCGCCATCTTTTGTATCGTGTATTCAATTCGCTACATCGGTAGTTACACTTAGGTGCTTTGGCATTAGGTATTTTCGTTTATAATCGCATTCTGTGGCCGATCTGTCGCTATGTCCGTGGGTCTAAAGTAAGGTTGAGGCGCGCCCTGACGTCACAACGCCTACTCGCACAGAGGCGCTCTGACGACGGTCTCTGTGCGCGAACGCATTGTCCGATTGGAAAGTAACCCTTTCTCGTTTCGACCTCCGGGTGCGCCCCAACGTATAATAAGATAGATATAATCAACATTAAATGTGTATTTGTGAATTTTAACCTTATTTTGGTTGATGTTACTTTGTATTGGTGTAAATGGCTGAATAGTAGCTGTGTAGTGACACGGAGTGAATGACTGGTTCCCCTTTTACAATTGGAGTATAGAATAAAGCGAATAAATAAATTCGTATGACTTTTATTTTTCTCCTTATGTACATTCTTTAATTACATAGCTTAGTCTGTACAGTACATATATTAGGTTAGTTTTATTAATAAATAGTAAGGCGTTCTTACGAGGTAAACATTATTTGAGCTATATTGATTATTTAGTCCTATCTATATGAAATAGTATGTTGCGAGTACAATGCGTAGAATATCATTGTTCTTTGTGTTATGAACGAAGACATAAAATGGTCGAATGGTTGCTATGAACGGAATGTTAGTCTTATGCTATCAAAAATGAGATGGCAATTTAGTGAGTGGAATTAAAATACAAAAAATATACAGATTTTCTATCAAAATTCCCTGGTTAGTCCACTGGCTTAACTTCCTATAGCTTGGTCTCAGGCTTAGGTCCAGGCTTCCGAGTTCGCCTCGGCCTCCTATCACAGGCTCCGTATACGCTGTCGTATCTCTCCTCCCTCGGTATCATATCCGGTGGTCTGTAGGGGAATTCCCCGTAGGTCGGTGGATGCAGCTGCGACGTGGCCGAGCAGTTCGAACGGCGGTCGCTTTCGTTGTCACCGCTGTCTACATCACCTGGAAACATTTTAAATGAAACTTCAACGGCGTGTTTGTCCTGAGGAAGCAGTGGACCAGATTGGGCAAATAATATATATAAATATTTCCTGTCAAAAATTTCAAGACCTGAACCCCCCAGGCTAGAAACTGAGTAGGTATGTCCATGGTGATTTTATAAATATAGGATAATCACCATCACTGCTATTATTGCTAGGTAGGTGTGCGTCCCGCAACCGCGGTCGTCGTCTCCAGTAGCGAAACTCGCGTGGGAGCGTGTACGAGCGAGGCAATGATATCTGAAATTGAATGATTATACTTATACAAGTGTCGTTAGGTAATCATCATGTCATCAATCATGTTGTCTCTTTCGTGCAAATATTTTCCGTAAATTGAGAGAAAAATATGAAAAAGCTATAAATAATACGCACTTTAATTTGTTAAAGTAATAAGATAATTTGTTATCTATATGGCGTATTTGTTTATGTATAAAAGGTTTTTATTTATTTCACAATTAATGTGCTTAAAGATATATAATGCACAGAAATATCTTATAATTGAAACAGGCAAAAATTATTACACATTTATCAAATTGCATTTCATGAACTTATTATTAACATTATGCTATTGCACTGACTGACCTGACTATCGATGTCGCTGGGCGGTCTAGGCGTCTCGCGAGCACCTTCAGGTCCTGATTGCTCTGCGCTACTGCCTCCGTCTTCTTTTTTCCTGCTATGGAAGAAAGATATAAAAAATGGGCATCGTGTATCAATATCATCTTGATTTAGTAGTTTCGTAGTTCCATTGTACTTTAAACTAAAAAAAAATACCTAACTCTTTCATAAGTTTATAACATAACTTTGATATGATATCGTTATAAAAACATAATTTACAAAAGGAATTGAATACAAGATATTTTCTAAAAAACCATGTACCAATTTAGTTATTTGTGTAGAAAATATTTAATTTCGGACTCACCCATACGTACTCGGCCAATGGCAGCACACTTGCCGATTACACCCTTCCAAATAGTGCGGCGCCAAAAGGATTTCCGGCGTCCTGCACCTCTGCATCTTTTTTATCTGCTCTAATTTCTTTCCTGGCAACCCCGAGTACGGATACACTCCACACTGGCTGAATTGACCACATTCGTTATAAATTCGAATGTTGTCCATCACTTGATTGCTCAACGCATTCTGTAGGTATTCATCCTTATTGTATATATCTTGTCTATCGTCGGTATAGGTCTGTGGTCTTTTGTCTATAGCCGTTTCATAAGTCACGTCGTTCAAATAGTTCCTCGGACTGTTATTGAGCACGTTTCTAGGGCTCCTAGTATTGGACTCGTAGCTTCGATCGATGTAGGTAGGGCTCCGGAGGTTCGGTCTGTTCTCGCCTCGTAAATTTCCCGGATTTTCATAGAACGTTCGAGATTCTTGGCTGTACGTGTTAGCTGTTGCGTCCGTATATTCCGGTTTTATTTCTGTGTATGTGGGGTATATACACGTATGGGGAACTGGGTAGTTCTGGTAGGACTGGGCCACTTCTATGCTGGGCCAGGCCGGTTCCGCGTGGGTTTTGGCCCTGGGTATAGGTTGGCGTTGCAAACTGCTGTATATTTCTTCAGCTGCAACGGGCGTGGTTTTGGCTAGCTTTCCCTGTTTTATCTCTTCTTCTATCACACGCAATTCTGCTAATTGCTTCTGCTTCTTTTCTTGCAGTTTTTGTTGTATATTGACGCGAGATCCTACGCTAGAACCTTCGTTCTCTGATGAGCCACCCTGATGAAATGAGTTAAGTAAATATGCATACTGTCTAACACATTTAAATAAAACACTTTAACGGTTTAAAATTATTAGTTATTAGAATATATTAGTTACCCATTTCACGGGGGTCACGGGGAGACTTCAAGTCGTAGTTAAAATAATTTTCTAAAAGTTTCTAAAGTTAAATATTTACCGCGTTTTAAACCGTTAAAGTGTTATAATTTAATTATTATTTTATATTTTTAACAGAATTGTTATTTTTATATATTGTATCGCGTCTGATGTGTTATGAGGTTTAAGAATACAAACATGATGGTTATGCGCAGCGGGCAGCGGTCTCCTCCAAAAGGCAGAGGGCGCTGGTGGGGCGGGAGAGGTACTAGCAGGCGCGGCAGGTGGGGGCACGAACGAAGTCGGCTTTTTCTTTTTACGACCGTTGGCGGCGCTGAAAATAACCAATAATTAATTAAATGAAAAAAGGGTTTACTTTGTTACACAATATGATCAATTAGAAAAGGGTAGAATTATGAAATATTGTATTCACTTACCTACTATTTACAGGATTTGAAAATCGACAGTTGAAGACCCCCGGTATCACAGTGTTATCATTTTGATTTGATTTACCTAAAAAGTAAAATTGGAATGTATGCAACTTCATCATTTGCAAGCGCTTTTCATAGAACTGTCGAGATCAGAGCATGGATTTTTACACTATACACAATAGAGAGGGACAGAATAGAAAAACAAAAAAACCCTAAATTATATTGTAACTTATCTGCCTGTCTGTTACATTTTAACTTCAAAAATATTTTTCAACAATATACTAAACTGAGTTTGGGTCATAATATATGGATTTATTTTATTGCGATTTGGAAGTCATTAAAGGCTTGTATCAGAGGAAAATATCTGTTGTCTACCTATGCACTGTGTTTTCGTGTAAAACATTGTTTAGTTTAGTAACAAAAATACATGTCGCCAAATGCTTATAAGATATCATCCGATGCTTACCATTTTTGTTTTGTGAAGAAGCATTAGTACTATTAGTACCCTGTTGGTGTTCGCCCAACATATAGCCCAGTCGTCTCACGTGGAAGTACCTGAATAAAAAAATATCTGTTATAACTATTATTATACAATATCCGTGTTGTAAGAAAAAAAGAAAATAAAATTCAACCATTATTGTGCTTTCCCTAGTTTTTTTTCTCATAGTGTCTGTGTGAAACCACCCCAACACTAAATTTTTCGCACTTAATTATTTGTGTCATGGAAGCATTATTTTCACGTCAATTTTGCATTATTCTTGTGTGAAAAAATATTTTGAATACATATGTTCGCATACCTGTAGTAAAGCAACATGCAAGCAAGTCCAGCTAGGAAAGATGCAGCCGCCGCTGGTGCGAGGCGCCCCGCGGGCGGTCCTTGTCTTGCGCCGGACCACCACCAAGCCGTTATGAGGACGCAGTTTTCTATACTCATGACACAGTAGAATATTACCTGTGGCCAAAATTTATTTAAATTTAATGCAAATTAAAATATATTAAAGGAAATATTTATTATCACTGACCAGATTTTTTTAATGATTAATATTATTAACGCGGATATTTGCTATATGCAATTTTTAGGCCATACGGCTTGCCGCCATATTTATTTATACATTTGTAAGTTTACCAACATTTATTACATTAACATGTATTTACAACAAAAAAGTATTATATATTGGAATTTTTAATACCCGGGTAGTTCTTTCATATGATGTAACACAGTAAAAGCCACGAGTCTATTCACCCAAGTTAATAGAGCGCTATCTCTTTCCAACAATCCCATACAAAGAACAAGACCACAATATGTGCGCGTCACCCATTTCTATGAAGTCGCTTAAGTGTAAGTATGATGTACATACCATTTTCTGGCGATGGTTCGTGTCCTGCAGGTTGATGTAAGCGAAGACATACACGAAAGCTATGAGAGCGGAGAGATAAGCTTTCCTCGGTCGACTTATCCGTTCGCCGTGGAAAACATTCTTTGGTGATATCAACCAGAGGAACATAGACACCCAATGTAGACCTATAATTTAAGACGAATATAAGAAGTTTAATAAGAATGTCACCGCACCTTTGTATATATTTATTTTTTTCACTTTTTTTCATTATTTTGCTATTCGGAGAATTTAATAAAATCTATGTAAATCAATTCTCTCTATGCGTTTTTAAAATAAAAATCGATTTTATTTTGTATTTAACGTTGTTTAGGTGGCACACCAACAATGTAATGGTATCAGATGGTGTATGGCTAATAAATTATAATCAACGAGACGTGGGTTCGATCTCCACCGAGTCGTTGGTTTTGGCCTGTAAATCTTGATAATAGATAGTAATATCGACTTTCCGTCCGGGTCCGGTCACAGTCCACAGAAGCCGTAAAGTTTAGCGCATTAAATAGCGTTTTGTTTCAGCCTCTGGATTTTTAAATATCCAAAGCATGTTTAGATCTTATATGGCTGGGGTATTTTGCCTACGATCAAGCGAGCCTTATGTCTGTCTGTTCTTCACTAACATAAAAAATAAGAATTGATATTTTTATGACCATAACATACCTATAACTAAAAAGACCCAGTATTCGTAGACTAGAGCGTAGACTGTTAGAGAACATACGCGCGCCGATATTGTTCCCAAACGCCATAAGAACTGAAATCATTTTTTAATATATTAAGCATAGAAGATTAAACAATTATAGGTCATTCATTCAATAGGTCATATATACTGTTTACTCACTTGAAATATAACCCCAAGCCAAGTAAGCACCAGTCGATGAACATTTTGTAGTCGGACGTTCTTGCTGAAGCTAGCCAGAGCCCAGCAGACAGAAAACAGAGACAGCGACGCTGAGATGACATTCAGTTCAGCGAACGCTTTATTTGCTGAAAATTAAAAAAAAAAACTGTAACATTCGCAACGCATGCGCAGGATGCAATATAGTCCACATAATCCACGACTCATAAAATTTTAACCTGCTGGTTCGTCAATGTTTGGTTCCGGTGTGACGCCCAGCTCATTTGTTATTGGTTCTAGGTGAGCTTCCTTCAGAAGAATATGCAACTGCAGTAGTAACATCGGCGCCGCTTCGCAGAACGCGTGGACTAGCCGGAGCATACCTATAAAACAAGTATTATTAATTATAAGACATTAAAAACTTTTTTAACTTTGATGAATTTACTTAGTGGAAAAACGAAACTTGGATTTCGTCGTTTCAATCATTAAGTATTTTTTTTGTGTGTGGTTCGAATAAAATAAATTAAGTCAGGGTAAACAACCATACATAATTCTATTGGGTATTCTTAGAATAGAAATGGTACTTACACAAGTCTCGAACTTGATGCTTTACTCGTCTAAGCTCAACAGGTACCAAAAGTCTAGCGTATCGCCACAACACACCCATTTGCAGGCAATGCAATAAAACCGGTAGCCAAGGGGGGCGGCCTTTACGACCTTCGCTAGCCCACCATACGTGGAGATACCAGCGAAGAGAAAGTACCTAAAAACACATAAGATTTGAGTTAGTTACACCATCAATCAATAAAGGGAAGATACTTTATTAAAATGTTGCCGAGTATCATACTTGCGAAATCAATAGTGATGTGATAACTATCGATAGCGTAGCAGCAAACGTGCCCTTGTAGCCCCGCTCTAGCAGCGCGTACCCCATAACAAGATCGAAAACCACGTCGCAGAAATAGCCAGCTAGCGATATAACGTTGAATAAAACGTCGCAAAGGGGCAGAAACTCTGCCATCTTCTTGCATTTCTCCTATGTCGGTTGTGTAAAATAGCGTAGCATTTCTAAAAAAAAAGATAAACCGAAAATTCTCTATAGTTTAAAGTATTTAAATAAAACACTTTAACGTAGAAGATAATTAGAAATCATTTTCAAATAAGTTTAAAGAACGCGTTTTACCTTAAAGTGTTTTTATAAAAACAAAAATTATTTTTATAAAAAGAATGATTTGTTCAATATTAAAGATACCATGAGAATATCTTTGTTTAAGTTTTTAATTTATTCTTATACTAGCAACACTACCAACTGTCAGTTGACGCGTAGTAAGTAGTTCAAATCTGACATTGACACATTTTACCAGCAAAACTTTTGAGCAACATACTCCACAAATTAGTTGTTTTATTTTCTAGTAATTTCTGAATAAATAATGCAACAATGTCGAATTACACAGATTTATTGAGTAAAATAGGTAAGGATAGTTCACGAGCGGCGTGTAAGAAGTGCGGTTATGCTGGGCACTTAACATTTCAGTGTAGAAATTTTATAAAAGTAAGTATTAAAAACAATGCGTGGAAAGTGTGTGTTTGTATACAAAGTTTGTTTATAATTCAATTTGTTATCGCATTATATTGTACTCTGTGCATTAGTTATTAAATGATACTGGCGAATGAAAAAAAAAATTGAAAAGGATTGTTCATCTCATTATAAAGTATGAATTACATGACAACTACACATAATGTGCATACAAATTTATGGTACAATCAATTAGATCCCTTCTGCTGTCATTATTTACAGGCTAGTTCTGACTGGACTAAGGTCCTATATAGCATTTTATATTGTTTGTGTTATAGATGTAAATATCTTTTTTGTATTTTAGGTCGATCCCAACAAGGAAATAGTTTTAGATGTAAGCAGTACAAGTAGTGACAGTGACATAGAGTATGCAACACCTCTAGAAAGTTTACGGGAAGCAGAACTGAAGCAAAAATTGGAGGAAAAGTTAAAGAAGGCTAAAGAAAAGAAGAAGAGTAAAAAGAGGAAGAGAGAAAGGTGCCGTGGAAAGAATATTTGATATTTTTTTTCTTCTAACTTATTTAATACTTTAATTAAGTAATTTTTTTAATTAGCCAGGTAGTTTTTGAGTACTATATTGTCTTTTTATTATAAGATTCAAGCCTAAGTTGAGTCTTAATATCAGGCCCTAATTGTTCAGTTAGGCAACATTCTCAATACATTGGAAAATATCGAACAGACTAAGAGTATCTGTTTCTCTAATGACTTTAATTTACTGCCGAGTAGATGCGTAGCTTCATTTGCCTACTGTGAGTGTACAAAAGAGAATCACTAAGCTTTACTAATAGCAATGAAGGTGTTTGGATTATTGTTTTACATTCAAACTATTTTTTTTTAAATAAAGGAACTTATATTTTGTGTTATCTGTAGATCTTTGAGTACTTCATCAACAAGTAGTACTTCATCTGACAGTAGTGGATCACACAAGAAGAAGAAGAAGAAAAAGAAAAAGTCCAAAAAGTCAAAGAAATCGCACAAGGAGAAGAAAAATAAAAGCTAGATTTTATGTTAGACATACAAAAAATGTGTTTTAATATGAAATTATGTCAATTATTCCCTTGTAATAACAGACTGATGAATAAATTTTTTTTAAAGATTAGCTTTGTTTGGTTTAATTTAATACCTAATTATAATCCTATTACAATACAAAAAAATAATACTGTTGTCTCTTGGTATATTCAATTAAGGATTTTATATATAGAGTATTAGAAATACACAATGTTTTATGTTGTGATGTTAAACTCCATCAGATATCTATCACAATATAATGCAAGGCAAAGTTAACAATGTAACCGGTAAGATAATATAATAATAATTATGAAAAATTTATAATAATATTGAAGAGTACTTTTACAAATCTAGTTTAAGGGTTTAAGGTTTAACAGATTTAAAAACTGTGTTAACACAGTAAGTTGTTCTTAAAATATTGTATGCATAGTTTAAATTGGGTGTATTCTATAAATAATGTTTGATTAGAAAGAATAATAAATAGACTGTTGGTTACATGCATCATTTACTTTAAGTTATTCTAAAAATTAATATTGTTAAGTAAACTAAACTGTCCATAACCTGTTTAGCTGTAATTTTTAATTAAAAAGGTGCAGGTTTAAACTGCAGGCTGCTAAATAGATACATATTTATATAATGGTAGACATTGGCAAGTTCATGAAAATAACTTAGGTCGGACTACTGTGGGAATTAGTACATACTTAAGTCATGACTCAGACAAAATGAATTCTGTATGTTATATAGATGTTATGCTTTTACGGAATTAAGTATGAGACGTTTTAAAATTAATAATGTTTCGAATGAACGACTTGTTTCACTTTTACACAAACATCAGAATGCAGAATTACATTACAGAACTTGCAAAATAGAAAGTTCGAATGGTGGGTGTCTTTACATTAAGACAGTAACAATTCATCTCTTTCAACTTATGGATATACTTAAAATTGAAGTAATAATAAATTATCCAGCAGTACGCTATAAATGAACGTAAAAAACTCACTTTTTACGTTGGAATTCCGTAATTCTTCAACTTCACAAAACACGCACTCAAGTAATCAACTTTTACAAGTAAACAACAACAACAACCGAGAAACTTTATTCAAAGTCAACCTAATTATTGAATATCACATTATCTTTGCTTAATAATTAAGTTTAAGTTAATATTTTGGTTAAGTTACAACAAAGTTTCCATCAAGTACATGTCAAAAGTTCACAGACACTAGCGCCATCTGGTTGGTGGAATGTGTAATTGGCAAAAGCTCGATCGATCGCTGAGAAATATTTTGTCACATCACAAAGCATGCGGTGGGATTAACAATTCGAATTCCTGCTAGACTTTGTGCTTTGAATCGTTAATAAGTTGAATGTAATTCTTTTTAGTGAGAAAATGCCTTATCACTAGGTCTTGATCCGTCATATGCCTGGTAGGTTTCCTTTTGCGATTGTCTGTCGATCTAAAACGTTGTTCCGATGTAATAATTCAAATAAAATTTTCATACCTTTATCTATTTTTTTAAGAGCCTTTTTTACATAAAGCAAACTTTCAATGTATATCTGAGTAAGTATAATAAAAAATCTACATTCATATTACCTATGACGTGATAAAATGTATTGTGTACAACCATAAAAAAACTCATTGGATCTTATGAAATGTATAAATATATATCTATGTAGTATTTTAAATTTATTGAAACGCTTACCGTTGACAATGAGCATTACAATTACTGATTAATATTAGAAATCCTGGTAAAGCAAAGTCCAGAACAGACTTTTCTTGGGCTAAAACTTTTATAAGCTGCAATGGATCTGCCTTCATATCTGACATAGTGCAAATTGTTACCTGAAATATAACGTCATAGATCATGTATATATAATATAAACGTTTATTATTACCGCTATTCTTAAAAGCAGTAAATACATATTTGACAAATAAAATACTGGAAATTTTAAGCCAATTACAGGCCGTTTGGAGACAATTATTTGAAAATAAATCTTTTTAACCAGATATCATGCATACAAATTTAAAACTTACTTAGATTAGATAATTATAAATTAATACAAAAATCTCGTTACTTATGTTGTTTAACATCTTAAAAATAATGAATTTTTGACAGTGAACGCTCGTGTTTTGTTATTTTTACCTCAGTTAGTGCCAAAACATCTGACCTTTGAGTTTCTAGATTTATTAAGTAATCTTTAGTGTATCGCTGGCACTGTTTACTTGATATTTTTACGCACTGCACGTACAGTTCTTTATTATAACGACATTCAGCTTCCATGGTTAGCGCCGCTTTTGTTGCCTAAAAAATAATAGCACAGTAATGTATCAAGAGAAATGTAATGACATATAGCTACATAGATTTATTATGGGAATACTGAAGTGTAATGAGCGAAAAGGCGGCTCACTTCCTTTTCTTTCCCTTAATACTGTGTCTGCAAGGGTAAATGGTATTAATCAAAATTTGACCACTTTCTTGTCTATGGAATAGATCAGTGAATTCCTTCAGCGAAATTAATCTAACCTCGTTTTGACAAACTTGTTAGTGCAATGGTAGCAATGTACGGCTAATAATCAACGGGTCGTGGATTCGATTCCCACCGGGTCCAACATATTTCAAATTTTTCAATTTATATATTTTTTTCTTGATCTGGATATTAAACGGGTGGTAGGAATATAGAAATTTCGTCCGGGTAACGAACCACCGTCCACGGATGAGAAAGCCGTGAAGCTTAGTCGCGATTCGGTTTCACTCCGGATTTCCGAACATCCAATGCCCAAATAGGTCAACAGCTCATCTTGTTTAGATGCTATTGGCTGGCAAATTTCACCTACCATCAAGTTATTAAGAAGGACAGACAAGTAGTTGGGTTCTAACAACCCAAATCTCGTTTCAACAATGCATATTTCTAAGATAACTCTTAAATTACCTCCTTGATATCCTTTAGAAGTTCCATAGACTGCTTATTGTAACCATCGTAAAGGTCGATTAAAACCTTCTTTGTTAAAAGAACGAGATCTCTTTGCGTTGGTACTTCCTATGGACCTATATTATTCGGCTGTTCTTCTTCTGGACATTTAAACTGCTTTTTTTGTAGTATTAACTACATTTACAGATGGCGTTACTGGATTTTGAATTAATCTTGATAATGGCGTCGAATACTGAATATTACGTACCTACGATAAACGTTGAGTTTATTTCCCACTACATATTAACGTATCGTTGGTAAAGTGAAATTTTTTTATGCCGAGCTTTTGTTATTAGATTTCAAAAACCGTTCGTCCAACCCAACAAGGCATTCTAACTAACTTAACAAACACAAGATTATAGAGACAGAATGTGAATTAATTAATTTATTAAGTTTAAGTTTTTTCTATTATGTACTATTTACCTACTTGTAAAGTAGTTAAGTAGTACATAATAAGTGAGTTTCATTACAAAATAGATCCCTTTTTTTATATTTCTCTACTTACCGTACTACTCGTTGGTATATTTGTGCTAGTATAGTCTGTTGTCGTTATAACATTATTTGTACTTGGAGTGGCCTCCACTTCTGTTGCATCAAACCCTGGAAACTGTTGAAATTCAGCGTAACCGCTACAAGGTCTTAAGAAGATGAAGAGAATCCAAGCAAGTGTATTTACACCTGAAATGTTTTATTGATTTTGATAAGCTTAAATAAAATTAAATACTGTCTATAGTTTACGCGAGTAGTACACATTTAAATAAAACACTTTAACGGTTTAAAACGCGATATATTAGTCTCCCCGTGACCACGGCTGCGGCAAAGCATCCGAAACGTCGGGCCGAAGTTAAAAATCATTTTCAAATAAGTTTAACTAATATATCGCGTTTTAAACCGTTAAAGTGTTTTATTTAAATTAAATAAAATTTATTGTTAAGCTTAGAAAGCTAACGATAATATTAATAATTATAATGATAAAAATGATATAGGCACCGAGAAGGGTTTGGTTGAACAATAATTATGTACCTACATTACCTTATACAACAACCAGCTTTACAAGTTTGATTTCCTTACTCTTCTTTTCTTAATAAAAAATCTAATTTACATATAAACGTCAGTAACAAGTACTAGGATCCCATAAATTGCTAAAAGATTTTAAATTCGTGTTTGCTAATTGAAAGGATTCTTAACCAACAATGTACCGCCCAAAATAATCGATATAAAAATTCTCTCAAACTCACATAATGTAGTACATCGAAAATAAAAACTAGGGACCCATAACTAGGCGGAAGACTTCTAAAGGTCTACTTGACGTTTCGTTACTAAATAAGAGAGCTGCGAAACAATAGAAGGCGACGTTAAAAGGAAATGTGTACTTACACGTGTAAAGCATAGCTTCAAAATGCTGTGTTTGTGCTCAAAATCCTTGAGACGAATATGCACGGTGACTTTCGCAAGTTGATAACTTAAACATCGCGGGGGGGGGGGGGGGGGGGGGGGGGGGGGGGGGGGGGGGGGGGGGGGGGGGGGGGGGGGGGGGGGGGGGGGGGGGGGGGGGGGGGGGGGGGGGGGGGGGGGGGGGGGGGGGGGGGGGGGGGGGGGGGGGGGGGGGGGGGGGGGGGGGGGGGGGGGGGGGGGGGGGGGGGGGGGGGGGGGGGGGGGGGGGGGGGGGGGGGGGGGGGGGGGGGGGGGGGGGGGGGGGGGGGGGGGGGGGGGGGGGGGGGGGGGGGGCGGGGCGGGGGGGGGGGGGGGGGGGGGGGGGGGGGGGGGGGGGGGGGGGGGGGGGGGGGGGGGGGGGGGGGGGGGGGGGGGGGGGGGGGGGGGGGGGGGGGGGGGGGGGGGGGGGGGGGGGGGGGGGGGGGAAAGGGGGGGGGGGGGGGGGGGGGGGGGGGGGGGGGGGGGGGGGGGGGGGGGGGGGGGGGGGGGGGGGGGGGGGGGGGGGGGGGGGGGGGGGGGGGGGGGGGGGGGGGGGGGGGGGGGGGGGGGGGGGGGGGGGGGGGGGGGGGGGGGGGGGGGGGGGGGGGGGGGGGGGGGGGGGGGGGGGGGGGGGGGGGGGGGGGGGGGGGGGGGGGGGGGGGGGGGGGGGGGGGGGGGGGGGGGGGGGGGGGGGGGGGGGGGGGGGGGGGGGGGGGGGGGGGGGGGGGCGGGGGGGGGGGGGGGGGGGGGGGGGGGGGGCGGGGGGGGGGGGGGGGGGGGGGGGGGGGGGGGGGGGGGGGGGGGGGGGGGGGGGGGAGGGGGGGGGGGGGGGGGGGGGGGGGGGGGGGGGGGGGGGGGGGGGGGGGGGGGGGGGGGGGGGGGGGGGGGGGGGGGGGGGGGGGGGGCCCCGCCGGCGGGGGGGGGGGGGGCCCCCGGGCCGGGCGGGGAGGGGGCGGGGGGGGGGGGGGGGGGGGGGGGGGGGGGGGGGGGGGGGGGGGGGGGGGGGGCCCCGCGGCGGCGGGGGGGGGGGTTTTTTAAAAAAGAGGGGGTAGCACAGCGGGGGGGGGGGGGGGCCCGGGGCTGGGGGGAGCCGTCCCTTAAACATCGCGTTCATAAGTACATTGAGAACCTATTGTGAGCGATTACTTAATTATAAATAAAAGCGAAATTTAAATATTAACTATATTGGTTACATTAAATACTTGAAATTCCGTCCGAGTCACGAACCACTGTCCGAAGTTAAAGAGCCGTGAAGTTTAATTGTGTTTAGGTTTCAGTCTGTGCATTTCCGACTATCCAAACCCGAAATAGGTAATAGCGCATATAACCTACCATTAAGTGAACCCGTGCTTGACTCGCTCACTTACTTAAAAGACGTCGTGAGTGGACTTAAGTCTTATTATTCTTTTATCTTCAGAAGGTTATCTACAAACAATTTTCACATGTTAATATTATTAGAAATTTGAATAATACCTTACCATAAATTACCATAAAATTATTTGTTTAGTAAAAAATCTTTGTTTTTAAGTCTATAAACACGAAAGTATTCCTTATCGGTGTGGAAAAGTAGCAAACAGTTGAATGTTAGCCATGTTTTGAAACCTTTAATCAACATTGGCTTCTGATAATGGTCCAACAAGTAACGAATGATGAAAATTTTAAACCTACCTAAGTAGTACTTAGGTAGATTTATATTCGAACCCAAGACCTCTCCAACTAACCCAATCTATTATGGCCAGGAGGCGGTCCAAGGTCTTTTAGACTGGTAGTACAGCGATACTTATGCACATTTTCATGCCGTGTAATGATGTAGAGGAAAATAGAGTCCATATATATATAACTAGCTGTGTCAGCGACTTTGTCCGCGCAGAATAGTTATTTTGCGCATAGAAATTTGTTTTTGTAAACCTAGTCGTGTTTAGTGTAAATCTTTATAAATTATACTGTTACGCACGATGTCGGTCGCTTCCCGTCCTTCTTGCAAGTTAATCTTAAAGGGTAGACATATAGTGTCGCGGACATGTTTTTACATTCTTTATAGAGGAATCATTCTTTCGAAAACATTTTTTCGGTATTTGGTCTTGAACCGGTTTCAGAGCGAAGGCATCGAAAACCCACTGAGATGAATAATTTTCCCCGTTTTTCCCACATTTCCCGCTGTTTTCTTCTTTTAATGCTCTAACCATCAAAAAAGGAATGTAATTTCAACCAGTGGTTCCTAAAATTAGCTTATTAAACAAACAAACATACTCGCCAGCTTTATATATTATTATAGATATAGATTAATGAATGCCAAAATAGCCAATACAAGTTGATCAAACCTCTTTCCGTAATTCTATTCCCATTTTATCTCCATGGTAATCACAAATCCTGTATCCATGGTTACGTGACACTAAGAATTATTGTACTTCTAATTTTCATCAATAACTAATGATAGTAGTCATTCTTACGTCCACAAAATGAATAAGCTTAGTCAAAATGATGTGTCAGCCATGGAAAACCAGCTACGGCAGGGGCTGGAGGAAGACAAGAAATATTGGAGGGTTAATGACGTAAAGTGTGACGCTATCCACACCGCTAAGACCTACGAAGAGTTTGCGTGAGTCACTTTTAAGTAACACTAACAAATCGATAATGCAATTCTAAGTTAACAGAATAGTGAAGACAGTATACATCAGTTTTCCTTAAGTTTTAATGTCTGGTTCTGTTTCATTAAGCAATTTTGAATGGTTTAACGTTTAAAGTCTTATTTGAAAACTATTTTAACTACGTTCCGAAGTATCGGATGCTTTGCAGCAGCGGTGGTCACGGGGAGACAACCGTTAGTGTTTTTTCTAAATGTGTACTACTCGCGTAAACTACAGATTTTACTACGTAGATAGATTGTTTTAGAAACTATTTTGCTTCAGAGATAGAGTGGCTGCCGCCCATCTTCGTCCTCTAGAGAAGAGTGATTATAAAAATAAGATGACCAGAGGTTGGAACCAATATGCCAGTCGAGATAAAGAGAGAGATGAATAAAGGAATTGCTTTAATGACATTATTTGAAAGCGTTTTATGGCATAGATTTGTTTCGTATTTGTGAAAACCTAAATGAAATAAAACCACATAATATATACGTTCTTTTGTTTTGTTTTTATTTTAATGAGGAATTATATATACGAGAAAAAATTATAAAATACACATTGTATGTGGAGCCTAAGTAGTGTATCCGTGCAGATTTGTATAACAAAAAAAATAGATTTTACAATATTAACTAATTAAAGCTGTTTACGTCTCAAAGGATATGTGCTGAGGCAAGTAAATTTTGATTTCTTTAGTAAATCTAGTTTCAGATACGTATTGTATTCATATATACGATATTACGATTTACTCTTGGGGTTAGACATGAGAATAATAATTTCGATTTTGGTATGGGAGCTCTCTTTCTTCGGGTTGTAAAAGCGTCGATCGTTTCTATCCATTTTCACGAGCGGCGTATGATACCAGCCGTAACTGGAAAGTTAATACGAGAAATCTAGTTAAAGATACACTTTAAATTATATATTAAAAGTAGATTCATTATTTGCAATCCCTACAATAAGTTCTACTGGCATACAATAAAAAAAGAAAATAATCTTTTCATTATCATTATGTATTAATAAAATGTTAATATAATCGGCTGAAACAACCATTTTCTATATAGGAAAATATCCAAACTTACAGCTTGAATTGGCATCCAAGTCTACTTTCCGTTGAACCAAACAAAAATCGGTTTTTACAGCTTCTAGAATTACATCGATTAAACTCCCAAAACATATGAGAAGATGAAATCAAACTTATGACTCGCCGTTTCTCGCCACAAATTTTCAGAGTGACGATCTAAAGATGGCATTTTACTAACACCTGGTTTTCAGTGGCTGGAGCCGGGTACTTGCTTGCGGGGCCCTTGGCTCTAGTCTGAGCCACATTGTGGTGATAATTGTCGACTTTCTCGGTCTGTTCCTTGGACTCGGCTTTCAATTGATCGTGCGCTGCGTAAAACTTCGTGGCAACGGGAATCGCTATGATATGAAGGACGTTTTATATTATGGAATAATTTCATAAAAAGAAGTAGTCCAAGCTTATTATGAATTGGACGTCACTATTAAAAATATGAAAGTGGTACCGTTCAGAAGATGGTAAGACAAGTTCAATGGACTGCTGGCGTAATGTGAGAGAGAGCAGCAAAGGAACAGCAAATGGCGTTGCATTTGTAATCACTAATGTTTAAAGTTACTAACAATTTAAAAAGAAGGTAATGTAATATGTGAGCTAATTTAATGATTGCTTATTATAATTATATTATTTTTTTTATGACCAAACGTTTTAAATGCTTTTCAGAACCCGTGAGAAGCTTTACGACATGTTTAATTTCATATGTTCAAATTATTAAGCATTATAATGTGCTATAAATCGTAAGTAATTTACATAAAATTGTAAATGTAATAAGTGGGAAGGAGTGAGTCATACTTTTGATATATTAGACTGAGTCACACCCCATATTAACTAACCTTAATAATTACTTTCAAACTTATTAACAAAAATATAGTCCTAAATGTGATTTATCATTTTGTTGTTCTGAAAGCACAGTCAAAACTATCACAGCAGAATCCCTAAATAGTTTATAAATAATTATGTAACTCAATGATTAACGCGTTATCCAACATCCCTGTGAAGTGTGAGTCCTGTGTTTGAATCCAAGAAAAGAAGATGGTTACGATCGGACAGAACAAAGCACATAAATGAACATTACTTGCCTATAAATGAAACGTATACAGAAATGTGTTTTATTAAATAAGCTTTTACATACATCCAAAGTTCGGTCTGTAAATTTTATAATTCCTGAAGTGCTTTACTTCACGATAAATAATTTCGTTGAGCATGTGAATGTCTATGGGCAATTTTGTTCCAAACGTGCATTTTCCCTCGTTCACCATTGTCGTAGCTAAAAGATCAAGACGTTTCAAATACTAAACTAAACTTAGTAATTATGAAACCCTGTTTTAGACTTATAACAAATATTTATATAGTTTGTAAAATGTTTAAAAAACGTTTGGGACAAACATGTAAATATGCTATTAAAAAACGTCACTTGTCACAAATTAATCCATAGATAAACGGCCTTTTTTAAAATATAATCTACGCTATAAGCGTAATAGTTATTGTTGTATCTATGGGCCTATGATAAAATCAATAAATGAATATAATATATTATTCGCTTTTAAAACGAATAACTAATTTCAAAGAGAGTTGAAAAGTACACAAAATTCTATTCTTAATAATTGTTGAAAACAACGAAGAAATAGTAGTTCGGTTTGTAAAATTCTAAATACTGAATTTCTAGACTACAGTGTGGCGTAATTATCTTGTGTTAGTTAATTTTAATGGCCGCTGTTAATTGTATTGGGGAAAGCGGTGAGCGAGATTAGGCCGAGATGACAACTTAATTGCTTACACCTAGCTACCTGTTACGCTGCTTACAAAAGTGTTTGTAAGCTTTACGTTTTATGCTTGAAAAATCTGTGATTTCTAAAACTTTTATATGTCTCTTGATCAACTCAAATCACTTTTCATCAACACAAGTTATTGATATTTATGCCTTTTTGTGTTGCTTTCGCCAGACATTTATTTCTGGCCCAGGATTCGAATCTAGAAGTACCCATTTCTAAAGCAATGTATAGCAATAGTCTGTATAGGAGAAATCTGTCATTGCAACAAGAATCCCATTATACTTTAACCTATAAGACCACGCCTCTATCTTAACTATCTATACCTACTAATATATAAAGCTGCAGAGTTTGTCTGTTTGTTTGAACATGCTAATCTCAGGAAATACGGGTTCAAATTGAAAAAATATTCTTGTGTTGGTTAGAGCATTTATTGAGGAAAGTTATAGGCTATAAAACATAGCGCTGTGACTAGAAGACTAGGAGAGAAGAAACAGTGGGAAATGTCGGAAGAAACGGGAAACTTGGGGGTTTCCATTGCGTACGCTGCGAAAACGGTTCAAGATATATTATAGAGTTGATTGAGCAGGAGGTTTGCATAAACAAAAATTTATACCTAAAATATTGATTCTACGCGTAAGTACGAAGTCGCTGACTCAGCTATTTTTTATAAAAACTTCTAAACTACTGTCTTAGATAAAAGTTGTGCTTTATATACAAATTATAGACACCAAATCATTATAAAACTACTATAATATGTACTCAGCTAAAAGCGAAAAGAACTTCTCTCTCATTTTTTGTAATAATTTTTGATGGTTTGTTTTTCATACGTACATTTCCCAAACATGTCCACGAACTAAGCATAATTATATTGGTTCTAATGACATTGAACAGGATAACATGATTATGAAGTAAGTTGAAGCGACGGCCTTTTAAGACGTTTTCAATATGTCTTGACTTATATTAAACTGAAAAACAGGTAGATGATGGAAATCCAATAAGCCCTTGTAAGAGCGGGCCGGAGTGAATTTAAAAACCATCTCTTATATCCCAGAATTCTTCGAGTTCCTACGGTGCGCGTGAGGAACGCGGTAAGGCGGCTGCATTGGTAAGAGACGCGAATGTCGTATTTTAAATAATCCTGCAATATACAGAGAATGTCATCCATTCCATGATAAATCTTCGTGAAACGACAAAATTACGATTGCCTAGCCAAAACAACAAGAAATATATAGTGTATAATCGCGCAAAAATTTAATTTTACATGTCCTTTTCGTAATAATTCATTAATAAATAAGTAATAAAACACTTTAACGGTGCTTCAAAGCGTAATTAAACTATTTGAATGAATAACATTATATGATAATTAGTAAACTTTAATAAGTAATAATCTGTTAAACGAAAAGTTATTAGATGTTATAAATATGGAAGTATTTAATAGAGCTGTCTCTCAGATGATCGTTAAAGAAAATTTACAATGAACATGCGTTGCTGTCTCTACATGTCGACTTGTGTTTATTATTTCTTATTCTATAAAATTATAACTTCATTAGCTTGCATAATATATTGCCCAAATATTTATATATGCTATGAGGGCACAGACGCCTGGCATCCACATAAAAATGTTTAGGTGTATAAAACCGCTCCGCTTGCCGTTGTGTGCGAGGTTTTACATAAATTCCGATAGGCTATCGCGTCGCGGCAATATTGTGGGTATCCGCGAAATCGACATCTACCGAGACAACTATTTCATAAGGCGTATAATTGAAATATCCGCAAGCACCCGCCTCGCTTCTAATGGTGATCTCAGGTCGGTGGTACAGCGAGTACTTTTACCTGAAAATTTGTATAAAATGATACTTATGTAGGTATTAATGTAATTCGATAAAAAGCCTTGTCCAAAAAAGCGTTTCTTAAACAAGAGTATCTTTTAATGAAGTAAAATATTTTTAACAATTTTAACAATATATTAGTTATATAATTTACTAGTTAGACAATCTTGTTTTTAAAGTATTTATCTATGAAACGACTGCATATCGATTTATACTTTTAATTCTTCGAGCAATCGACAAGTTAATTCCTCCTGATGATGCCGTCCACACGCGATGGCGGAACGTCGAGAACCTCTACCCGCTCACATCGGCCGAACAGCCCGAAGGACAATGATATGCTGGACGATGGCCGTGAAAGACTTACACAATTGATTATGAAACGATTATTTGAATGTTTTGCTATAATAATCTTATGTTTTATTTATTTTTTAATTTATTTACCGGCATGTCACTAAATCATTCGTCTTTACCTTAAACAAAGTTTCAACGCCAGCAGTTTTCAAATCTAGGATATCTCGCACGACGTTACCAATTATTATTGATTATATTTGAAGGTATCATACGGTGTCACGACTCTAAAAAACAACTACTAAATTAAAGGCGAGTAGGCATTAACCGCGACCGGTGCACTCTCAACCTAAACGATTGAATTCCAAGATAGACGTGACAATAAGGATCCTTTAATGAGCACCTGTAAGCGAAGGACACTGCAATCTCCTTCCATCTTATCTCACAACGATTTCAGATAACTTGATTGAAAAGAAGCTCTGATTGAAATCCTAAATAAATTCCTATTTGGATTTGAATCTATGGGATCTGTCTGCGAGGTCCTTACGTATCTACCTTCTTAACTTCTAACTATTCTTCTAACCTTTTTTTATCTTAGAAGCCTTCTTGTATGTTAATAAAATAAATAATATATTTATAAATAAATTGTATATAACTTATATGTAATAATTTAGCTGTACTGATTAACTATTACATAAGGGTGTTACACTTACAGTCTATGATTCAGTGATTTCCAAAATGTTTTTTTTGAAAAATTATTAATACATAAGAAAAATTTTTGTTCCTACGACTCGTTGGTCTAGCTGTCATTGCTAGTTGCTACCATTGGACTAACGTCATCATTTTATATTGTCCCAGAAGACTTAATTAGGCAATTCATAATTATAGCAAAATAATCGTTTCAGAAACTAGGTGCGGAATATTATAATGACATGCTAACCCTTTTATGGGTCGCCGATTTCAGGTAAGGGTTGATTATGTCTTTTAATTAAAACTTTTGACGTCGAAACCACTTTTAAATCCTTGGTCGGAGATTCAGACAATATGTAAGATAACAAATTATTATAAATTGGTTGCTGAAACTTAATAATTCATTAAAAAAAAAACTTTATTTATTCAAACAAATTGCTGATGGTCAGATTTGAAAAGCGTTTAATTATTTATTTATATAACTTTATTATTTTACAAACACCACAATTTAAATTTAAAAAAATTGAATAAAATCTTATGAACTAGCTTATAACTAAAGGGCGGCCTTATCGCTAAGCAGAGACAGACATACATAGACATGACATGTATCAAAATAATAATAATCTAATGATAGTAACACTTAAATTATGTTAATGGTAGTTCAATTACATATAACAATTTGTTGAAATATTCAAAATTTTAATCTAATTAAAAATTAAAGTGTTAATTGTTCGTATCAAACATTTTCTTATTATAAATTTAATTTACGGATGTCTTGCAAACTTTAATATTTTCTCTTACTAACGAATTCAATCTCTGCTATAGGTTTGCAATATATGTAATGCCATATGTTATTCTGGATTGAAATGGTGAAACCAACTGGCGGAGGCTGGGGTTTCAGGGGGCTGTACAGCATTGATGATGACTCGGCTTACGAAGGGGTACAATTTGCTTTTTAATGTATAAAATCTCTTTTAATTCACGTAATGAATATTTTTGAACTGAAAAGCTACAAATGTCGCTATGTAATGGCAATCGCTGAATCTTAATCGCTGCCTCATTTTGACTGGCAATTATAAGATTTTATAGAATAATTTGGTCGTTTTTATTCATTGCTTTTACATTGTGGCTTGATTAAGACAAATTCCTTAGTATAAATATTGTTATAAAATCAAATGTTACAGATAAGAAAACAATCTTTGCGACTGCCTCATTGATCTAGTAGTTAGTACATTCGGCTGCAGGTAAGGTAACTCAGAATTAGTAGATATTCACTTTTCTATATGGAGATTTTATTTATTAATAATATTTTGAAGTATCTGTTAAAAGTATGGAAGTAGATCGTGTTATCATTTAAGATAAAGTTGTAAATACTAAACACATAAGCTGACTTCTAAAGACAGAAGACCCGCATGTGATATCAAAAATTGAACGAATCCTCAGAAGTTGAATGCATTTTCTATAATAGAAGAAATGGAATCTCTATGCATTATGTCTTTTAAAGATAATTTAATTTGTAGCCAGAGTAAGCTTATAATTTTTTATTCAAGACTTTAATTTCAATTTACAGATGAACCTACAGACATATTACAATAATGCAAGAAGTAAGCAAATCATCAGTTCATATGCAATATTTTAAATATTTCACCCTTTTCTATTAAGTAAACCTCACACGCGGTA